ATTGCTTGGGACAATACCTTTTACTCGGATGAGTAGCCACCAAACACATATGTGATTTTCTTCAGAGTAATGCTGGAAAGCCTGCATGAGTCACCATGTCCTACTGGGTGGAACTGAGATCTGTGCAGAGTGCACGGGCTGGATTGCATTGAACTGCAGCACCATACAATCTTTGGCTCTAGTCCGAGTCTGGGTAACAGAAGTCCTTTCTCAGCTTGCTCAGTCCAGCACCAACAACCATCTGTTGTTTGTCTTTTCTTTGTCTAGGCCAATGCCCAAAGAATTCTACAAAAACTAGAAGATGTACAAGAAATGTTTGACAAGAGGCAAGTAAGTCTGAAAAAGCTAGCAGCCAAACAGACCCGGCCAGTACAGCCTGTTGCCCCACATCCTGAATCTTCTCCAAAGCGAGCCTCACCAAAGATTACCAGACCAGCAGGAGTAGGTAGGCCATCAACAGCTGCATTCAGATGCACACCAATATTTTGTCCCACATGGTCATGTTTAATTGTTGTTATCAGAATTAAGACTTGCATTTGATGCTCAGTGTCAGCCCTGTAGACCCAGCTTTTAAAAATGAATGTGAAATTATCTGTCACTGCAAACATACAAAAAAGGGTGAATCAAAAAAATTCAGGCTTCTCCCTTTAGGTCTAACCTATAGAGGACTTTCCTGTACTCTTTCTCAGTATGTCTTATATTGCTGATTCTTGAAAACCCAAAGCAGGCTTGTCACTGCAAGTATGCACAGGGAGCATAAGAACATCTTTTACATTGCATATATTGTAATATAAATATTTGGCTTTAAAGTGTCATAATCCCTCAAGTTTCTGTCAGGTACTTGCAAAGGTTAAGGGTTCATTAGTGACACTGACTTATTTGTGCAATTTTTGCCTTTTCTCTCCACATCACTGTTTGTTCACTTTTTATTCTTGTCCTCTACTAATTACAAAAGCTGAACAATGCTTCTGTTTGGAATTTATGGAAAGTTCCTGATTTGAGATTAGTATGTGCCTTTAACCAGGACAGCTATTTTCTCGGGGGAAAAAAAAAAAAAAAAAAAGAAAAGAATGGGTGAAGTTAATTTGAAACAGTGCATCTTGGAGACCCTGTATTTGGTGGCAGGAAGAGGTTGTCTCTTTTCAGCAGAGCTGCTAAGAAGAAAATAAAAAATGGAGCCTTAGGGCTTTTTAAAATGGGAACATTTAGCCAAAAGCCTTGAAAAAATCTAATTTTCATGAATAGCATGCAATAAACTCTGCTTTCTCAACAGGAAGATTAGGACAGCCAGTAACTTGACCACTTTGCTTTCTAGGCATACTATCACAAGGTCACACAAATGTCCCTGTTGTTCTCAGATCCCCAGCACTCATCCTTTCTTACCAAGGAAGATCATAATCTTCTACCAGTTATCTTGCCAGTTTAATGTCAGTACTTTGCTCCTCCAAACCATGCTAGCTGTTTTCTTAACATACAGTTGCTACCTCAAGTTCCAAGTTCGCTCTTGGCTTACGGCAAGCTGAGACCACAGTGGCTTTGAGTAGGTCCTCCTCTGTTACCCACACATCCTCCAGCAATAAGTTCTCCTCTTATGCTGTTATTTGCAGTCCGTTAGCTGTATGAATTGTGATTCACCTTGAAAACTCAATAAACTGACTGCAAAAATGTAGTAGTTAGGTTTCTATTGCATGACTTAGAAAAATGCAGGGAGCTCTGGAGATCACATAGCCCAGTCACCTGCTCAAAGCAACACTAACTTCAGAGTTGACCTGATTGTTCACTGCATGGCCACTGGTGCTGAAGCAAAAGATGTTGCAGAAAAATGGGGTTATAAGGTCAGTAGGTCAGAGCTAGTTAGTCCCTGTTAGTGGTAGTACAGTTTTAAATGGCTTTCACCTATTGTGAAAATGCATCTTCAGGCTAGAAGGCAGTCTTGCATTTCTGTTTCTGCATGCAGTCGCTGTGTTTCTTGAACTTCTTCCTTGTCTTTTTAGAGCACTTGCAGATTTTTTTAAATTAAACTTTTTGTATAGATAGAACCTTAAAGGATAGTCACTAGTAGTATCTAAATGACAGTGCTTTAAGTTTTGATTCTTGTTCATACAGCCAATCCAATACTATCAGCTCTTTCACAGAAAATGATGAGATGCTCCCTTGCTCTGACCCCTGCATTCCAATTCAGTGTTCCACAACACAAGACAGGATAACTGTGATGAGAATTAGTCTCTGATGTCCTCTTGTAAATTGACGGGTAGAGATGATTGACATAGAGTGCCTCTGTACCAAGCAACAGTAAGTCCCTGAGTATCTACAGCTTATTCTGAGGCTCAGAACCGGTTACTTTGACTGCTGAGATCAATACATGCATATTTACACATAGTGTGTAATGGCATCTTCTGGGTATTACCCAACTGACCAACTACAAAGAGTGGTACTTCACATTTCCTGAGTGCTCTTTTCCTCAAAGTGCCAAAGCACTTGGAAAGTACTGGTAAGTATTTTAACCTCTTTTTTTTTTTTTCAGAAAGAAAATTGAAGCACAGATAAACTGAGTGATTCATCAAGGGGTTTCACAGCCTGAGTCTGAAATGTGGCTGGGAATAGAAACAGGGACAGAGTCCGATTCCAAGCCTTGAAAATGAGGCTGTGAAATTCTGCTCTTCTTGAAGCTACCCTCTTTTGGACTTTCCTCTCTGCCCTTTCTTCACATATACAGAATCAATGCACTATCAGCATTTATTTATAGGAGAATTATTGAGCAGCATCGTGGAAAGACGAGAGAGGCTAAGAGCACCTTCTTGAAACAGATACTGTAACTCTTTTATTACCCAGGACATACCTGTACATTTCTAAAAGCTTGCAAAATAGAATATGGCAACAGGAAAATACCATGTTCCTAGGCTGTGTAAATACAAAGGCAGGCAAAGGCAATAAAATGCGGTACACAGAAATAGAAGACCAGAAAGAAAGGCTTTTGTCCCCAGACAGCAGATGTAACAATGCCAAGGCACAATATTGCAATGGTTGTCTGTGAAAGAAAAAAAGTTATGATGATTCCAGAATAGACATTAGTTGGGTTTGTTTTTACTTGCTGACTATCCATTTCTCTAACAAGGGGTGGTAGAGAAAATTCAGTCTAATTCACGGTACTAATGAAAAAATCTTAACAGATGTCAAGGATGAGGCAAGAAATATTCCATTATTGTAACTGTGAGACTCTTAGTTTTACATGACTATATACATAGGGTGCATACAGGCAGAGCTGATACCATCTATGAGAGAAAGGGCAGATTTCTAACTGGGAAATGACTCTGCCAGTTTCTTGTATCTATGTCCTTATGTCTCTGGTAACTCTTGGTGAAGTCTCAGCTCAGTGAAGAGGCAGAAAGGCAAGTCAGAGCTGCACTGCAAATTCTCCCTCACCCAATGCTTTTCTGTGGGTCTGGAAATTCCAAAGCAAAATTTTAAATTCACCACATTTTTCCTTTGGTTTCACAAATGAACTTGTAAATTTTGCAGGGACAGGCCTGTTCAACACTATAAAACTAGCACTGGAATTGTGATGCTCAAAAGTCTGTGCCAGCTGCCTTGGTGCACATTTCAGCTATAAGAATCTGCTTAAATATTATTCAGAGATCATCCCAGAAATGGCAGAAAACCCTCTGCTGACTCTTTTATAATAAATGCCTTGAAAATATTTAAGTAGTGTATATGACAACTTATTGAGAACTCTGTTTACTCCCAGTGGAAGCTGCTTGTATACTGCTGATGGCTAAACTTGTCCCAGTATGTGTTAAGAAGAAAGAAGTGGCACTTGATGGGGAAATTCCTTTGCTCTAGTTCAATTCTGAAGGCATCATTTTTGATGATTGGACTACATATTTGTGATCTCTGTTTCTTTATAAAACTCCTTAGCCTGGAGTGTGTTGGGCTAGGTGCACAAAGCCAAACCATGGAGGCTTGTATTGCCTATAGGCTGTCCAGCACAGTGGGATAAGCCACAGAAGTGTAAAGGAAAATATAAGTTATTAGGAATGACTGTAATTAGCACTTCTCTGTTTTAATTTGCTTGTAATTTTCCCAAATGCTCTTTGAGATGAAATTTTCTCAAAGGCTATCTTCTTCAGCTTGACACTTTTCTTGGAAATCTTGAGCTAAAAATCATTTGGTTAACTCAGTGAACAAGGCTTTAAAAAAATTGTCTTGCTTTAGTTACATCTGTGGAGAGACCTGGAACATGGCAATACAAAATAGTTTTGTCCCTTCCTTAAGTGTTCAGATTTGGAAGAATTATAAGCACTTGGGAAAAAAAAAAGAAAATCTCAGTCCATACACCTTCGTTATGTATGAACTTGCGACAGTTTGCCTCCTATAGTCTCATTTCCTTTGTTGTCAGCAAATCTTTGAAACCCAGGGACAAAATATGTTTCTTATCCCCTGTTCTGCTTATTTCCTTACAGTATGATCTTGCAGCAGATTAAGCCCTTCTCAGTGCAGAGCTGTCACCGTCTCCCTTTCTCCTCTCCTCTTTGCCCAGCACAGCAGCATTTGTGAGTCTGCTTTCCCTGAGTACTTGCAGTCTTACAGCTACTGGGAACGAAGGAGGGAACCGAAAACTATCACTGTAGGGGTCTTTTTTGTTTTGTTTTGGCTAATTCTGCCTCCTCCTCCTCCAGTTCCATGAACAGCAGTGCTGACAAAAAATGGAGACAGAAGTGCAGAAGTGTGTGGCCAGAGGTTGGGAGGAAAGGGAGAACTGATCCAGTTCAGATGGGTTTTAACACCCATTCTCTTGCTGCTTTTACTCCTGCTAACATGGAAGAGAGAAGCTGATGCTAGAGATGTAAAGGTTTCGACCTTGTTAAAAACCCTTGTGGGTGTTAATGTGATTCAACTTAGTGCAATTTTTTTGATTATGTTTTCAATAACTAGTGCAACCATATGAAGAAACCTTACACTGAAATAGCAGTGAAAGACTGAAATCAGAATTAGTGGGCAGGGCATATACTCTTGAACATGTGAAATGGCATGTAATACTCAGTAACCTTAAAATTCAGCTCTAAAAACGTCATGTTGGTCTCCCAAAGTACTATATTCTCTTTTGATCTTTATCTGTGGAACTTGGAGGCCTCAATGTGGTTGATAACAGCCTGTTAGTCTGAAAAGTGTTGTGAAAACGGCTCAGTTAATGTTTATAAAGCACTTGAATTTTAAAAATGACTACTAGAAAAAAGACAATTATTTTCAGAGCAGGGACTGAAATAGCATATGGATAGAAAGGCTTGGGGGCCCCACTGATAAATACAAATAAATCAAAATAATGAATAGCTGCTCATTAATTAAGCGGGTTTGATTCCATGCACTGAATGAGGCAAGCATTCTTAGAGGGGAGTAGACCAAGATGCCATAGACAGCAAAGGGGCAAAATTAGGGTTGCACATGTATCTTTGCTTTGGCATCTCCTGTCTTCTAAATGCTATAAAATATTCACCTGGGGAGTTCATGTGCAACATAAATGGGAAGTACATCAGCAGAGAAGTTATTTGCTTAATGAGCTCACAGAAATTTTGACATGTTTAACAGCACATTGCACATGCAAAATCCATGGGTCACACTACAAGCATCTTAGAAAGCCAACTTGAAACATGCAGTTCATATGGGGGAACACAGCTGGAGCCTTTTCAGTTCTTTAAATAATAAAATTTAAACTGGTTCCATCTCACTTGAATGTGTATGACTGCTCATTGGATCCACTCCAGCATTCCTCACAGTCACTAGTGCGTAACACTTGCTAACTAGTAACATCTGGACAGAAGATAAAAGAAGAATGTCCTGCAAGAGTCTTGGGAAGTGTGCCGGAAAAGCAAGGCTGCAGAGATTAGTTGACTCAGAAAAGAGCGTGCATGTGATTTTCGTTAATGGTTTTGAGAAACCACTAGTTTCTGTAGTTCAAGATATTTCTGTAAAGGAAGTAGAGAAAAGGAAAAGATGCTTTCAATTTTGTGGCTGTGAGGCTGCTCTCGCACTTGAGCAAGTCTGAGGAAACCAAGTAACAGTGTCTCCTTTTAGAATAATATTCCACATTCCACAGAGCCTTGCTCTATGCCTCTTATATGAGCAGATTTTCAGGGAGCCTGACAACAATTCACTAGAGCAAAGAAGTATAGGTTATACTACCTAAGAATGGAAAAGACTTTCTGTAGTTAGCTGGGAAATGATAAACCTTAGAAAAGCTTTAGGGACAGTACAGTCCACATTACCATTTGCTGTAAGCTAGCTATAAAACAGTAATGTATATTTATCATGCAACTTGTTAATAAAAACCAAGTAAGCAGTACTAAAGCCCCACAGGAAAAGCACAGTGGTCCAGTTGATAGCCCAAGCTCTGCTTTATGGTAATATCCTTGCAGTAAAAAGTTTACCTTTGCATACAATGTCCTTTAACAGTACTTGCTATAAAAGCAATATCAAGCAATTTTTAAATTATTAATGAGTTCAAAATGAAATTCATTACTCATTATCCAGGGGAGTACTATGAAAAACAACATTGTAACCATACAGACCTTATATTGTTTATAGATTGTTTTTCTTTGTTCCTGTGCCTTCATTCTTTCAATAGGCAGTTGAACACTCTGACTTTCAGCTTCCTCGGCAGCACAATAATAACCCTGAAAGAGCCAACTGCACTGAATTTTATAAGGGAATTTCCCTCATAAAATCTTTCCAGTTCCACAGTAATTAGTGCAATAATAATTGACAGGTATTTGGGCTGTTTCTTTCTAAATGGCTCCAGAAACTACTTAAATGTAGTGACATGCAGCCATCTCTGAATATGGGACAGTCAGTAACTCAAAAACACTCTGGAGCATAACCAAAACCAGATTGCTTCCAGTTTTCAATTCATTCTGGATCAAATTGGAAGGGGAAAGTTTGCTGTGTCAATCCAAATCAAATTTGCCCCTGAAACAGAAGCAGTTGGATTTGACTGCTTTCATATCTTGTATCTGCCTCTATCCTTCCGAAATGAGTCATACTGATGAAGCTAGGGCTAAGCTAGTAACCTGACCTACGGAATTTGCTGCTGTATCAAGTAGCATCTGCACATTTGTTTGGTTTTTTTTTTGGGTGAATGTGTCATCATTCACTTAAATTGCCCACTTAAACTCTTCCCTGGATCACGTGGAGCTGTCTGAGTTTGTAAGTTGTGATCCAGACATCAGAGGCATAACGTATTTCCATGTTTTCTGCTGACTGCTTGCAGCCAGGATTTTCACACCAGCATCAACCCACCCCTTCAAGCTAGAAAGTTTTCTGATTAATGAATAGGCCAAGCAACTCGGTATTGCTGACTATGCTGCTCAAAGCAAAAGTTCTCATAATTACTGAAGTTATTTCCTTTGCTTCCATTCCTTTTAATAACACATCCAGTATATACGGAACTTGGGAATTAGCTTTGGAGAGCAATCCAATGGACTGAACTCAGATTTAGATAGCATAACTGGACAGTGGCAGCATGTCCAGGGTATTCAAGAGTGCCTGGGAAGAGTATGAAACAATGTCTTGGTTTTCTTTAATTGAAAATTTTTGTGATCAAGTGTTAATTTATTCTTTTTAAAATGCTGACTTTTCAAAGTATAAATAGGATGTAGCTGGGAGACACTCCAGGAGGGAATATGGTTCAGTGTGATGGGTATGATCATAGTGTCTTGTCAAGATGGTGGTGGATGAGAATTTAAGGCTAAATAGAATCTTCAGGATGCCTTAGTATAGAAAAGAGTGGATTTGCTGATGCTTGTAACCACTTTACTCAGGGATTCCTAGGGAAAAATGTAAAAGGGCCTGTTTTAAAATTTATCAAATAGTTGATGAATGTTGGTATTCTGGTTTTGCCAACACTAGAAATCATCACACCTGCGGACTAGAAAGTGTTATGAAGAACTTTGACAATAAGGACAAACAGCTTCTATTTGCTGCACCTTAATTTTTTTATTTTTTTTCCCCCTTGTCTTCAAAATGTCAGTGCACCACTTTTAGGGTGAAACAACGCCTTTGAGAGAACAATTACTTCTTCATGGAAAGCTTTCTTGGGGATGGGAAGAAGGTGTCTGTTGACAGTAGTGCTCAAAATCAAACCAAATCCCCTGCTTTACATTCTGAAAGAGTGATGGAAAAACCAAATAGAGTTGACATTTGCATTTCAGTTCAGTCCTGGGAACCGTAGGAATCTTCTAGTGGTTGATTATAGCTGCTGCTGGCTGCCAGACTTGCTGCTCCATTGAAGAAACTTTCTAATATGGAGTCATTGTGAAGAAGTAATAGGCATGAAATGGACATTGCCAAGTCCTCATGTCATTCAGCATGGAACAAAACCAGCAAGATTTAGGAAAGAGTTGGAGAGAAGCTGCTCTCATTAATTCTCTTCCCAGCTGCATCATAAGGCAACTGAAAAGACACAGGGTAGAAGAAATGTCAGCTTCTGTTATTATTGTCCATGAAACTGATACACTGCTTTTTTAACTGCATATAATATGCAGTGTTTCTATGTTTTGTTTTTTTTTACTACTTTAGAATAATTTAATAAGAGCATTTGAAAATCTGTTACTGTCCTCCCCATTCAAAGATACCTGTATCTTTTTTATCACATCCCTCAGCCTTTCTCAGAGACAAAGAAAAAGTTATTTGTAACAACCAAGAGTCTCAAAACATAAAACTTGGCAAAACCATTTTAAACAGAATGTTACTGCATTTGAAAGCACCAGCTTTTATTTTTGGAAACATTCTTATTCAATGAGCAAGTTTTCCAAGAACAAAGCTGAAAAGGACCTGATCTCAGAATTGCAAGTTTTGCTCTTTGTTGCCCGACTCAGATTCTTTCATAATTTCATCTGGTATTCAGCCTGGTTTTTACCATGACGTGCATGGTTGGCTGTATCAATTCAGCAACTAAGAAAAAGGACAGCACTGTTTGCCTTGTACTGACATAATCTGCGTTGTGAACTCATTATCAATTTAAAACAAAGATCCAAACTGTAACAGAGATGATTTTCTACTCAAGCCAACTGTATGACTCCCCTTCGCGTAGTTCATTCTAAACCCGTGCTTTGGACAGCGGTGTCACGACAAGTGGCTAAGTTGCTAAGGATGATTTTCTAGCAGCATTAGACAGCTTGTGGTCAACAATGGTTTACAGAGCCTGCAAGGCCCAACAAACCTGACATGACAGAACACATTCTGAAATCATTTCCTCAGACTCAGTCATTACATACATGGCCACAGTGACTTGTTGAACACCTGTATGATTACTCCAGACTTGTTCATGTGATGAAACTTAAGAGGGAAAGATCCTTTCTAATCTGGCATTAACAAACCATTACCAGAACCAAAATTCCCTTTCTTTGGGAACCCACACATGTAACAATACTTGAGCTGAAAAACTACACAGGTGAAAATTACCAACTGTTGATACAGCCAGCTAACATTTACCTGGGCTACCCTACAGATGGTTGCCAAGGAAGAAGCCAAACAAAAGTAGTCATTACAGTGTGGAGGCCTAAGTGCCAGTTTGAGACAGACTGGTGAACAGAAGAACATGGTCCATCCCTTGTGCCAGCTGGTTCTTCTCCACTCCAGCCATAATTAATTTCTCTACAACAGGTGATGTGACCACTGATTTAGCAGGATCTTTGCTCATTGCTTTTATTAGAAAGTAGAATTTCAACTTTTAGCACACATTTTCTAATGTTCATTTCTTTTTGACTCCTTCAGCCACCAACCGGAGGTCCACAGAAATTTCCTGCCCTCCAAAGACCATTTCTGAAGTAGAGTTATCAAAAAAGAAAAACATTAAGAAGGCTAAAGGTGGAATTAAGGTAGGAGTATTTGTGTTTTGGGGACAAAAATATAGATTTACATATTTAGACTTTAAAAAAATTGAACATTTATAAGTTTAATTCTCTGCTAAGTGCTTCCTTTTTTTTTTTTTTTACACTTCACATTGCATTTTGAAAGTTACTCACGTGACAGTATTAAAGTTTTATGCTCATGTACACAGAAAAACCAAGTTACACTAAAGCAGAAATCACTTTTGAAGCTTGAAAGTGGAAACGTGGAAGGAGCGTCCAACAGGAATACACTGAAGTTCATCCAAAGTGCCCATCCTTTCTTATAGCATATGAATGATTTTGTTTCTAAAACTAAGAATCTTACTCAAGTACCTCTGAAGTTAGATGTGTTATGTTCACAGGGTTTTATAGAATCATAGAATCCCTTAGGTT